CCAGAAAAAAAGGAAAAAAAAAAAAAAAGCATCAGGGCTTGTTATCATCACTGCTCCAAAAGGATTACAGCCTCACACATTTGTTAACAGCCCTGATTTCTAAGAGCTGCAAGCTCCGTGCCAGACTGTGGTCTGCCCCTGCTGAGCAGTGGCAGGGACAGGCAGGCAAGCAGGAAAGCTTTCCTTTTCTTCCGCAGCATCCTCGGGAAGGAGCCAGCCAAATCCCTCCCTAGGGAGCTCTGATCCCGCTCTCCTTCTGCCCCTCAGGGGAGCTGCCTGCCACAAAGAGGGGCTGGGGGAAAMTTGTCCCTGTGCCTGGGCCCTGCAGGGGGCTGGGCTGGTGGTCAGGGCTGGGGCGAGGTCCCCATGGGTATCAGTGGCTTCAAATGCCCCAAACCGGGCACATCACACCCACCAGGGCTTTTTCTGGACCCTGCAATGCTTCTGAGATTGTCCTGCACCCCCTGGCTCTCAGGCACCCTAAATCTGCCTCATTTGGGGACAGCACATCACATCTCACATTGATTTTAAGTTTCCAAGTTTTGGCCTTTGGCTGGAGGTTCCCTCCAATCCACTCCAGCACAATGCTGCTTCCTGCACCAGCAGCCCCCAGTGTGACCCTTATTGGGCAGCAGCTCCCAGGCTGATCCCCTCCCAGCAGGGTTTGGATGGTGCCTGGAGCTCCCCTGCACTAGAATGTCCTACTCCCGGCACAGGACATCCCAGAGCACCAGAAACTGCCACCAGCCCTGACCCCCCAGCCCTGGATGGGAAGAGACAGAGCTTTGCCAAAACCTGATGATTTTTCAGATGGGAGGGGGAAAAAATCCCTCAGGAAACCAACAAAGCTTTCACTCCATTTTTCTCTTTTCCTCACACTTCTGATTTGGGGTTTTGGATTAAAAGTACTGCTCTCCCCCCTGCCATGAGTCCCCTGGGAAACAGCTGCTTGCGAGCCTGCTCTCAACACAAAACCTGCTTTTCTAAGGCTAATTTTGATTGGAAAAGTTTTRACGTGAATCAATGTGGCTGATGATGAGCAGAGGGACGTTTAGGTGGGAACATCTGCACGCTGCAGCCCCAAGGGATGGTTCAGGTAATGCTGGGGGAGAGGAAATAAAAACGCGTTAAAACGACAGCCTGGAGGAAGAACAGGAGAGAAAAGAGTTAAAGACGAGCAGAGAGGCAGGAGTTAATASAAAAATAAGCAAACCAGGGAAAGGTTACCCAAGAAGAGGCAAAGGGCAGGAGGATGGGGACGAACAYGCCTCATGTTTCAGGCGTCCCCTCGGGGCTGCTTCCAGGCATCGCTTGCAAAGCCCATCCTGTGAGTAATCCTGCCCCATGTGAGCGGACTGCGCTTGTTTCAGTGGGACCACTTGGGAGAGGGAAAAGAGGGAAAAAGCCTTGGTGATGAGTAAGATTCACAGTCAGGCTCTGGGAGGCCGGGCTCGGAGCGCTCCTTGGGCAGCACATAAATAAATAAATAAATAAATAAATAGCGATGCTGCTGCTTCCTTCCCTCATGAGGTAATGGCTCGGCGCAGCTCGGCCGGAGCTGCCGGCGCTGTTTTTGCAGCCGTATCTGTCTGAGGGTGTCTCCTCTCTCCACAAGCCGGGCTCCTGCGAGGGATTCTCGTGTCCCCGTGGGTGCTGTGCCCCAGGTTGCAGAGGGCACGAGTGGCAGAGGGTCTGAGACAGAAGCCCGTGGTGCAGGATTTCCGTGCCAGCTCACTCTTTTTGCCACAGCGGGGGGAAAATCCCCTCTGGGTGCAGGGGCGGATTTTGGTGTCACCGCTCCCTAACTTCCCCCTGGGCAGCAGCACCCGGGCTCCTGCCATGCCCGAGCCCGTTTTGCCTCGTCTGCTTTCCCGAAAACTCTCGGGATCAGCCTCAGCTCAGCGCTCCTGGCGCAGCGGGGCAGGAGGTGCTCTCGGCAGCGTCTGCAGATGTGGATTCGCAGTCCCTGTCCTCGAGAAACTGAAYCAGCGCCAGCAATTAGGAGCAATTAAAGGTAATTTGCCGTTCCCTGGCCAGTGCAAACACTTGCAGCCAGCAATTACAGTCTCTTCTCCTTCTCCAGCTTTCGAGGGCTGGGCTGCTGGTGCTTGATGCTGATTTTTCCAATCCAGTTCAAAMTCCTTTGGGATGGGACCCCAAATTGAGGGAAGTCTGCATCAGGATGTCAGCGGGTGTGTGATTGCCGCAAACGCCCCTTTGGCATTGCCGCTGCCTTTCTGATGAGGACCTTGGGACTCACCGAACAGATCTGCATTCCTGTGCTTCCCTGGTTCTCATTCCTGAACTTCCCTGGGTTTCATTCCTGAACTTCCCTGGGTGCAATGCCAGCAGCGCCTTGCCCCGAGTAAAGCCCTCAAGGCACCAGAGATGAGGAAACCTCTCTGCTCAGGAAAGGAGGGTGTCTGGGACATGATAAGGGGGTTTACACGTGATTTTTCCTCATGCCCTGCTTGAAAGGATCACCTCATAGAGGAGGATGTGAAGGCACAGTGAGATGGGAGAGAAGCAAACAGGGATGATGCTGGAACAAGGAAAAGGGGTGTTTGCAGTCTGTCAGTCCACAGAGCTTCAGGGGGGAAGGGCAATAACTCTCAGGATTTCATTTTTCTTAAAATCTTTAAGAAAAATATATGCTGAGTGGCAGAGAGGACCAGGAATTCGTAATGAAAAATGAAGTTATTGCCTGCTTGAAAACATGGTTATGGAGGAGAAAACAAGGAGCAGGAATCTATGCTGAGGTTTAAGGGGGAATGAGGGCGGCAGTGGGGTGCCTCTGCTGCCAAAAGATGATTTTTCCTATAAAATAAGCATGGCCTGGAAAGCAGGGAGCTGAGAGCACTTCCAGGTGAGCACCCTGAGCTTGGCTGCTCCAGATGTGAGGAGACCACGTCGCTCTCTGCGAGACAGCCCCAAAGTGGCCGAATGGATGAGGGGAGCGCAGCCAAAATCCGGAGTGCATAATTGGGAGGAGGGAACAGGATGGCTCATCCACGCTGAAGGGTCCCAATTAACTGCATCCACTCCAGGAAAAGATCTAGGAGTCAATGAAACATCTGGCTGATTGCAACGGAGCTCAGAAGAGCCACAAGATGGGAGGCTGCGCTGTGAAAGGGGGAGAGAGTAACTCTGAATTCATAGCAGGGCACTATAGAAATCAATAGCACGTCCTCAGCTGGGAGCCGGAGTGAAAGGCACCGAGAGCACCCACGGCAAAGATTGGGAACGCCTTGCCAAGAGACGGTGGAGGRCTGCCAAGCAATGCTGAGCGCCGGCAAGGTCAGACAGGTGCTCCTCTCCACTGCTCCTTAAAGCCCAGGAACAAAGGGACATTGAGGGCGTTGAAAAGGCAACCTTCGGAGCGATAAAAGGAAACACTGCTTTGCAGCGCACGTAATTAACTCATAGAACTCCTGCTACGGGACACCATGGCAAGGGCCCAACAGGATTAGATAGGGCTCTGAATGAGAACATCTGTAGTTACATTAGCTGGGATTAATATATATACGGATATAAGCGCTGCCAGGCAGCTCCTCAGCGCCTGCAGCCGTGAGGAGATTTCCCCCGGGGCCAAGCTCGGCAGAACGRGCTGCCGTGGGCTTTTATGGCTCTGTCTGGAGCTTCCAAATCAGCCCCTATTTTTCAGACGAACCTGCTGAGGCAGAGCATCGCCCTCCCCAACCCAGCCAGCAAYGCCTTTCAGTGCTTCAGCTCAGGTTTGGGGCCAAAAAATACCTGGGAACGTCTTGGGGTTGTGCTGGGATAAAAAACCCCACGGTTTTTCAGTTCAGGTGGTTGAACTTGCTGAGATGGCTCTGCCCCACTGAAGGCTTACAAATAGCACGGCAAAAATGCAAATATTTTCGCACCCCTGGTGTTTGGGCGGAGGTATTCCCAGCTGCTAATCCTCCCTTATACACGTGTGGTGGAAGGTAAACATAGGGATAAATCTCCAGGCTCAGCTCTCCTCAA